CTTTATTCAGGGGCGCGCCCCTGTTTAAGGCTTTATTCAGGGGCGCGCCCCTGTTTAAGGCTTTATTCAGGGGCGCGCCTCTGTTTAAGGCTTTATTCAGGGGCGCGCCCTTGTTTAAGGCTTTATTCAGGGGCGCGCCCCTGTTTTAAGGCTTTATCAGGGCGCGCCCCTGTTTAAGGCTTTATTCAGGGGCGCGCCCCTGTTTTAGGCTTTATTCAGTGTAAGCTTTTAACCAAGGAAACACTTTTGAGATTTTCTTGCTTGATGCAAGGGTCAGCTCCTATATATGTAGACAACCCTGTTTATTGTTATGCATTTTATTTCTTTGGATTCAGAAAGTGAGATGAACATTTACCCACATTTACCTACATATACCAAAATTTACCTGGTAAATATGTGTTATATGCGGGTAAATATTGAACATCATATTTACCAAGGATTTACACATTTAGGGTAAATTGGGTAAATCCCACTTTTCGTGCAGTGGTCACAGATCTTCTTGTACTGCACAGGCCGGATTCCTGAGGAGAAGTAGGCGTGAGCCATCCTACGAAAAAACAAAAGAGTAATGAGATTAGCTGCAGTATAGTTGATTGAATACAAGCTGTTTATGTACCATATGCTTACACAATAGCACTTTGAGAAACAAGCTACAAGGAAGATTGAAAAAAAAAAGCCACAGTATAAGCGGTAAATAGCTGTTGTGGGCCGAAACCAGGCGACCTTTGTTATGACCAGCGTGGCGGCTGTGTGCTAATCTGTTTATGATCTCAAATGTACTCCGAAAGTCTATTCAAGTCAATCGCCGGAAATCTTTCTTTTGTTCATGTTGTCATCCTTTAATTTGTTTATAACTTGTCACTTGTCTACGATAATGCAGACACCAAGGTTGGAAGCTTTGAAGGAAAAGAATATATACGACATTCGGCAGTTTTACTTTGCGGCCGCAATTTTCGTTTCTACATGTCGACCTTTATATAATTTCTAAGTGACCACTCTTTGAAAACTTTTGCGAGTGCTCTTCGTGAAAGCCAGAGAATACGGCAAAGAATGATTCAAACTGTTTTCTATAATTTTGTACATGTAATTGCGCCTCCTTAGGAAATAAGTTGGACTTTATAGGCTTATGATGTACTTTTTCTGGTTGTATATCGCGTGCGACCAAAAGAGTGCCGGGCTTACATGAACTTCCATACGAAGTCAGGCTCAGATCACTAAAGCTTCCTACTTTGGTGTACAGAAGACTGAGGGGCGATATGATTAATGTCTACAAATACACCCATGGCCTGTATGATACTAAATGTCCCATACCTACTGTATCGGATAAAAGAACAAGAGGGCACCAGCTGAAACTAAGCAGGATGCCAGCAAAAACAAACACAAGACTTTATTTTTTCACCATAAGAACAGTATGCTGGTGGAATAGTCTACCGGAAGAAGTGATTACAGCTCCCAGCGTGAACTGTTTCAAAACCAGATTTGATAAACATATGAGACTACACCATGTAGTATACAACTACAGAGCCCTGGATCATCCCATGCGACCTGAGATGACTGTCGGCTGAAGCCAAGAGCGGCCCAAACTGGAAGATATTCCTACCTGGCCTGAAGGAATCTACATCTACATCTACATCTACATATCAGTTATGATTGTATCCTGCTTCTTTTACGTTCTACCTACACACCTCTAAGTAAGCCACCCCTCCCGCCCCACATCCCCAGACGACATAAATCCTGTTCTGCTGAGGAGGGTGTAATGCAGGTGAGTCTTATATTGCTTTTAGTTGAAAAGTCATTTTTAAAAAAAAGTACAATAGGAATATCTTACCTGTAGTTTACAATAAACTTCAAGTAGTAGTGCGGTGAGGAGTCCCAGGACACATCGTGCTTCGCGCTGCAACGAAGGGAAACTTTACCGGCGTGGCCGTGCATCTTTACTCCATCCTTCTTCACAGACATCGCCTCTGGACACGACCTTGCATGTTCATGCAGCTGCACGGAGAGGTGGTTGATGGCCGTCTCGGTTGTCAGGAACATTGGCTCATCCTTCGTGGCGGGGCTGGCTGCGGAGAAGCCATTTCTACTCCTGAATGGGAGGCCCGGACCGCCCCAGTCAAGGTCGAGGCGGTGGTCATTCTCGTCGTCATGGGCCTTCAGCCAGGAGGACAGCGCACGTGAAATCACCTCTCTGTACGTTGGCTTCTTCCCGAGGGATTCTCCTATCTTGTTGCATATGGTCTTTAGCTGCATCTTCAGATCCTGCTGTTCCTCCTCGGAGCCGTGTATGGTCAAGTTGTACGGCTTCGAGACGAGCCCCTGGTCCTGTCTCTCTTTCCTCTTCTTATTCCGTGCGCGGATGGCATCCTTCTGCTCAGAGGGCTGAGATTTTCTCTTCTCAGCCCTGGCTCTCTGAGCAAGGACGTCGGCTGCACGCAGCATCGTTCGAAAAAGGTATACAAGACGAAAAGTGTACAAGATTGAAAAACGCGAGGGGTAGCAAGCCGAAATGGCGGGAGAGAGGCAATAAATCACAGAGGTCACGCTGTCACTGGGTGTCTCTTCTTCTTTTTTTTAATTTTCAGATCCACAAAAATATTTCTACTCGTGACATAGTAAATGTAACGTTAGAAAACAACACTGTTGTATTCACATTTTAAAAATGATTATAGATGACAAATCTTGTCTAACAAACAAGGGACATTCCTATCACCACAACAAAACACACGAACCTTACTAAAAGTTACTACGACTTTATGAAGTATCTACTTGCCTCTAGTATTCAAAACATTAATTACTACCCTTTGAATATGCATCTCTTTCATCTTTAGATTTCCAAGTATGTTGATTACGACACATATTCTTTTACGTTTTGATGGGATGACACATTTCGCGCGTTTTTTCCTGTCGCGCCTTCTGAGCGATAATAAGTTCCAGGACTTGTCATGGGTCATGGCAAAGCAAAAACAATGCAGGAAGACCGCAGCAAACGCAAGTCTAAAATAAGGGGAAGTGTGTTTCTAAGAATAAGACGAATCCACAGTTATTTCATAGGAATATATTTACCTTGTTATTTCTATAAAGTGCCGAAACGATGTTTCACGAGTCTAAGATTATCAACAATTTCCACACTTTTCTCTTTCCTTATTCTTCTACATTTTCTTGCCATCTTGAAACTTTCCCGCCAATATTGTTGGTATTTTGCTAGTGCGGGCTTTCTTGTCAGTGCGGACTGTGTGTTTCATTCTCTGGAGACGACGGCCGATGTACAAGATATTTGCTTCCGATTGAATCTGGAGCAAATCGAGTGGATGCGAGGGCTTTTCGCCCACGAAGGATGGGGCTGGCCAGTTGTGAAGTTGCCCCCGAACTTCAGGGGAGAGTTGCATGGAGAGGGGTCGGACACCTCTGATGCCTACACGAGCTCGGAGGAGGAGGGGGAGGAGGGGGAAGACGAAGCCACCACCTCAGGGACAGCTAACACCCGACGTCCCGAGGAACACCCCGAGTCGTCCGATGACAGCGGCCCAGAGGAGGACGAGAGTGCCCGTTCAGACCCACAGCTTCAGCCGCCAAACATCCCATCTGACCCTGCACCAGGCCCTCCCGCCCCCAACACTGACCGCCAACAACAACAAACCGGGGATCGGGAGTGCAGCCACTGTTTCATCCGACCCTGTGTGACGTTGTACCATGCAGAGAGAATTGGCCAGAGACGTGCCCTGCTGTCCAGGCATCGTCCACATTACAAAAACTCCAACACCAGACAAACGAAGTACAGGCGATTCTGGACCAGGATCAAGACGAAGGGTGGCTGGAAAGACGCTCGGTATTTGGCGCGGAAACGGGAGCGGATGGAGGCGGATGGCGTCCAGATCGTGAAGAGGGAAGTCATGCCCGAGTGCGTGACGACCCTCGTACGGGATTGCTATCCCAATCCCTCCAACATGCTCTACATGGGCCATCGTTGGAACTGAAAAAAACCCAGACTCACCTGACATTATCGGATCGATTGACGGAACGGAACGGAACAGGACTATGATTTATGGATTTTGGACATACAGTCTGTATATATATATATATATATATATATATATTGACGACGGCGCGGAACGGACAAGTGTGTAAACTGAACTGAAGTCGAGCTTCTTGGCAAAGAACAACCTGCTCAAGAACAAGAAGGTATGTCCGTGTCGTCTTGATATGAATTGTATCCAAGTTGTTTACAAGTGTACTATATGTTGACTATGTGACGTACAAGAGCAGCATAAAAGTGGATGTGTTGTTCACTTGTATTTTTATTCATCATTTTTA